TTGTGTTTAATAACTATAGCTAAGGTAATTCGTAAGACCTCATTCATTAAGTTATATTTTTCTCCAAAAATAACTAAATGTAAAAAAAAAGTGGTTAGGGAAATAAAGATGTAAGTGTAAATTAAATAATAGTTGTAAATATTAGTAAACAGGACTGTAAATTATCAGTCATTACATCGTCATATGGTAGGGATTCGTTGTTAACTGTATCAAGAATATCACAGTATTGATGATTATTTGGGGGAAATTGAAACTCTGTCATATTTTCCGTATGCTATGTTTATTTCAGAATCTTAGGGTCGTAATTTTCGCTCAATTTCAATGGTGTATTCATAGGTGATTGCTAATAATGCTGGATTTGCACTGGTATGTAAATTTGGTCTAATATTGTAGTTGATGTGAAATTATTTTCATGCTTTGGTAGTTTATATACAGTAAGTACTGGTAACTAATAATGGTTTATTAGAACATTATATCACATTTTAAGCTCATTTGTATAATAATTGTACCGTACAATAATTAGTTACCCCTGTATATATATTAAACGGGTAAAAAAAAATATGTTCCAGTTTTACATTTGGTTAATTCCTTTTAGAGTCCCATGGCAGGTGATTACATCGGTACGCATACCACGAACAACAAACAGCTCCATGATGTATAAAATTACCCGTGGCACAGTGGGAGGGAAGCTGAACGCACCCAGACACCTGACAATCCCATAGGCTCGACGGCTAGACCCAAACAAAACTCAGCTGGTAGGTGGTCAGGCTGAAACGAGTCTCCGTAAACCATGGCTACCCCCCAACACAAACCGGCACCACGTTACTTGTCTAAATTATTCTTTGTTGGTGATATCTTGACCGTGTGAAATATTTATTAGTAATATTGAACGTGTTTATCATTCATCGAAGAGGTAGTTGTTGTATATTTTGATTTTAAGAGGAAGACTCCCAGCGGAAATAAGCTTTTAACGGTTTTCTTACCGTAAATTTGGTTAAATGGTGACTTTTTCTTTATTGCATGTCTGTCTTCGCTGTTTTCGTACATGCTGGACCAACGTGAAACGGTATACGTAATTTAGATAATAAATTATCCATTCATTTATATACAGTAAAAACATAGTGACTGAAACTTGACAATCAGCTGATGGGAACTTCCAATATTTGTCAACAATTAATATTAGCGACGACTAGAAGCTCAACAGTCAGTTTCTTAATATCAAAACATACAATTATATTAAATTCCTCGATATATAATTCTGCTTGAAGATTAATACCCAGGATATTTATGTTCTCTCTGAATTAGTTAGGCATTTGGGTCGCGAACGTATTTCATCGTAAATTCTGTCTTGTGCGTAAACTAATACCGGCCAGGCAAGGAAGAATATCCGACCACAACAACATTTACTTGAACCTTGATGCTTAATACATACAACACAGTACCTCGTGACTCTTATGACCAATGATAGATGTAAATATTTCATGGTCGTCAGCTTGCGGTTCAGAGTTGACACTTTAATCAGTCATAAACTCGTGGTTAACTGCCAAACACAATAGAACTTAAATATTTGACTGAACGATAAGATGTGATTAAACTTATCAGATGCGCCGAAGTAGATATTAACACTGGATGATTTTCCTTATTATTAGTACTTGTAGGTTAAGGAACGTGTAGTTTAATTATCTTTTGTGTATTTTGGAATATTTTTTATTAGAAAGTGGAATACCTTGGAGACAAGAAAGTTCTGGTAATGACAAAAACGGGGATTTCTCCTTTGACGATAAGAAGTTGTCATAATGCCACAAGTTTCTTTCAATTATCCACCAATGTCTTGTTACAGTGAATTACAAAGGTTTAATGGGGGGGGGGAGGATTTCGTCGTACAAGTCGGCAAATGTGTGGTGGTGCCCAGTGTGAAACATGAGGTCCCGCCAGCCTCAGGGAAGAAGACAGTGGTAGCGACACACACGCACACACACACACACACACAAGGATTAGCCTACGAAGTGTCTCTCTCTCTCTCTCTCTCTCTCTCTCTCTCTCTCTGGACTGAGGGAGAAGTAGACATGTTCGTGTTTATACCCCGACATGTAAATCTTTAAACCTCTAGGTATTAATTTATTGATTCTTACTCAGGTGGTGGTGGTGGTCAGTCAGTCCTGTAGCCCACCTCACACGGTGCTATCCTATATGGTGTACCCCAAGGCTTAGCACTGTCGACAAGTCCCCACGTGGTGCTTTCGACGAGGGAAATTAGCCAAAAAAAAATTCCTACAAATCACTCAACCTTAAGGAACTGGTGACATACTCGTGTCCACTTGGCAGTTTATGTTTGCTTGAGAGACGGTTATGTAGAGAATAAACAACCTTCTCACGCATGCATTCACGGGGCCGATTTGGGTTATACGCATGCGCAGGAGTCAAGGGAGCAGCAGCGTGGCCCAACGTAAGAATTCAAACGAAGCCCAAGATCGTTAGGTTAGGTTTACAGCAGATGGTTCGTGTGTGTCGTCATAAAGAGCTATTTTGTACCCGAACAACTCATACCCGACTCGCTTTCAAAAATAAATTAAGAGGCGGATTCGTAATAAGTGGCAGTCAAATTTTAAAAAAACCTTTAATAATTAATTGGTTGTTGCCGCCGCTGGAAATCATAAAACGTAATTTGTGATGAGGGGGATGAATAAAAATAAATAATGGGCCAACCTTGACATATGGTACATTACTTTCATATAGGAAAATAAAAAAAAATTATATATACCTTCATACCTTTGATGCAGTGATGGGCTGATTGGATATTTTTACCTAAAAATTCTTAGTTTTAAAAATACCGTTGAAATTTGTTAAAATTTCAAAATATGTTAACGGTAGGGATATTGAAATTAAAATATGAAAAGGGTAGATAATGTTTTTTTTTAATATGGGAATAGGCGAGCTTTCATGTGTGTAATATTGTGTAGGGTTGGTTAGACCTTATGGAGATTAGGCACCCTCTCTTATTTCATCTGATTAAACACCTAAAATACTAACCTAACCTTTGCTATCTTTACACTTATTCTTAGCACTATTATATGTGCTCAGTTTCTATAATAATCCTATACGCTATAATTGTGCTATATTAAGATGTGTACAGTCATTATAATCATGATGGGAGTCCGCCCTTGGTCCCAACCTTGTACGCTACCGTTGTCCTGCGCATTTTAAATTTAAATTCCTGCGTAGATTAATTTTCTTTTCTTAAACTCATTACCGACATTAGGATTTTATTTTCGTGTATATGTTTTAGTTGTTGATGAATAGTAACGATGATAATGTACATACGTTAGTGAAGAGAAGTGATGTTTTAAAGTAGGGTAAATAATGTATTACTACGCTTCAACCAACTAAGGTCTTTAAAAGTATCTTGATATTAAATTCTGCGGTGATAAGCTGTATAAATATTGTCCACCCACAACACGCTGAGCTAATGTTAGCCTCTGTCTCTGGATATTCACCGTCGAGTCGATTCTCTCAGAGGGAACGACAATCGAATCCAGGCAATGTTGTTTTGAGAAATTTAACGAGATTCATCAGTAGTTTCTAGTAGTATTTTAAATGGATTTGTTTGAATTTAATTTATCGAGGGAGGTAACAGAGAATTGTTGGTTAAAGCTGAATTATTTTCCTTACGTAGTTTTATACTGTATATAAGATTAAGTTGTTTTGAGTTATTTAAATCTTTATGACTGGGAAAAAGTTACCATATGTACCTTCGAAAATGCTGAGTGAAGTAACAATTTTAAAGCCGTCTTCTCAAAAGCCCAAACCATTAAAAACAAATAAAAACATCTCCAGCATCAGCATACAACCCACTACGCCAGACGCTATCCACCGCCCCCCTCAAAAGTATTACGTTACATTATGATTCGTTCGTTAAACCTGTCTTTAAAATAACGTTCTTTTGTACTAACGTCGTCAACTTGTACACTATGTTTATACCTGTTCCCCAGCCCAGAGAAGAGGAAGAAAAAAAAAATCATGGGGAAACTTGTAATTTTTTTCCCCAGAAGTATTTTGTTTTGTTTCAAGTTTGAGTTTGTTTACCCGTCATCAGGCTCATGGTGGTCCACACAACCTCCAAGTGGTCACTGCCGGTGGGAAGTTCCTCATCCTCCATCCCCTCACCTCGCTCCCCCCCCTCTCACCCACCCTCCCCCCATCTTCCATTTAGTTTGGCTTATTTACTTGAATTACATAGTGTATTAAGTAATGTACAATGTGTTATTAGTGAACTGCCATCATTATTTTGTTTGATGTTTAATTAATAGACATTTACATCAATACGACTGATTTATTGCAATGTGTTGTTCTATAGTGTTTTATTATTACTTGTTAAATGATGAATAATATGTATAAAGTGTTTTTAAATGTATATCGTAGCGTTTAGCTGTGTATAATTTATGAATAGTTTCGGTCACTGTTATATCCCCGTGTAATAATTTTATAATAATTTATGTCAACAATAAATCAAGCGATATTATACTTTATTGGCTGTAATGTGTGAGTGAATGTAATTTTGTGACGGCCATTTGTGTGAGTGTTAACGAGGCTGTGGCGAGTGAAGGTGATGTATCCTATCACAATAAACACAACACTGAACCACACACACACAGCAAACGAAAATAAAAATATTCCTGTACTTATGTGTGTGTAATAATAATAAATTATAATAACGTGTGAATGTATTGTATGTATGCTGTATGTATTTCATTGATATAACCAAACTAGGTATTGTTGAAGGGATCAATAGGCTTTCAAAAATCCCGCCAACAACTTACGTAAATCTCTGGCGATTGGGCTCTACCGCTCTACAGTATATATACAGTATAATCGATAAGCCCCTTAAAAACACCTGAGATAAATATTTTCATCAAATCCCGGTTAAATATATTCTTTTTGTGTTTGTCTGCGCGAAAGTTTTTGTTGTTACAGGTGTTTAAATATCCTTTGCTCTCGGTAGGCTCGCGCGCTAGTCACAACACAGCTGACGGGTGGCGTGTCGCAAACGAGTCTACTCACATCATGGCTTCCAACGACAAGACGTGAGTTGCTGTTCTCTCCAAACTTTTATCCGTTTATCATTGATGACACTCCACAGTTTACCTTTAGATGATCCATTGTATTTTTATTGGATTAATTACTTATATTCCGGAGTTTGTCAGTGAGTTGGGGATGTATTTATCTCGTATGAGGTCCAAGGTGGTTGTCACTCAGCTGATATGATCTTGGGCCTGTTTAATGTGGAGTAATATTCACGTTCATCGTGAAGTAGCCACTTGATGTGTTTTATAAGTGAACTTACCACTTTTAATACAATTTAGTCGTGAAGATTCTGTGTTTAAAAATATGTATTTAAGTGAATAAAACGCTTTTATTAGCTGCAATTTTACGAAACGCGAATATAATTTCCCGTATATAAATTGCGTAACAATCCGTGCCCGGGAAACTCCAGTGGACAACAACCTGTGTGTGGCAACTTGGTCTGCTTGATGCTATATAATTCATCGGTTTTATTGTAATTAGGTATTATTTCATTATAACACGCAGTATAGTGTGTCTTATCGTACATTATCTTGTGGCCTGATTCGTTCATCAATCGTTATCAGTATACATCTTGGATTGCAGGCAGGACTGATGTAAACAAGATAGACCTGTCAAGCACTGCCAGTTAGTATGGTGAGCAATCATTTAATAATTCCCGTAGTTCACAATTTGAAGCATTTAAATTCTCTAACATAATATAGAGTTTATCTTGACAGAATTATAAACAATTTAAATTTACCGTTATTTTATATTTACTAAACTTACTGTATATAATATCGCTGGGTGCAACATTGACAGATTGCATTTTTTCCCTTTTCCTGTTCGTGGACAGGGGGAGAACTCTGTTTTTTTATTGATTTATTGAAATGGTCTTTGTTTTGGTTGAGTTGTTAGTAGTGTGTTTTTCAGTTGTGGTATATGAATAATCGTATAATGACATGTATGGAGTAGTTTGGCTTCACTGAGTGTCGATGTTTCTGAGTGCAAGGTCACCGGGACACAGACACGAGCACTTACACCCCCACACCCACACACCCCACACACCATTCCTCACACCTCCCCTCACACCCCCATTACACACACCCTCACACCTCCCACCCCCTCATTACACGACACACCCCTCACACCCCATTACGACACATCCCCCCTCCACCCCATTACACGACACCCCCTCACACCCCCATTACACACATCCCCCCTCACACCCCATTACACGACACACCCCTCACACCCCCTATTGCGACACACCCTCCACCCCTATTGCGACATCCCCCTCCACACCCCCATTACGACACATCCCTCCACCCCCATTACGACACACCCCTCACACCCCATTACACGACACACCCCTCACACCCCATTACACGACACACCCCCTCACACCCCATTACACGACACACCCCCTCACACCCCCATTGCACGACACACCCCTCACACCCCATTACACGACACACCCACCCCTCACACACCCCTCACACGACACACCTCCTCTCACACCCCCACCCCTCCCCCTCCTCCTCCCCCTCACACCCCTCCCCTCCACCCCTCCCCTCACACGCGACACACCCCCTCACCCCATTACAACCCCTCACACCCCATTACGACACACCCCTCACACCCCAATTACGACACATCCCCCTCACACCCCCATTGCACGACACACCCCCTCCACCCCCATTGCGACATCCCCCCTCATTACACGACACATCCCCCTCACCCCCATTACACGACACACCCCATTACACGACACACCCCCATTACACGACACACCCCCATTACGACACACCCCCATTACGACACACCCCCATTATACGACACACCCCCATTCACACACACACACACTCGGATATAATCAAGATGTAATTGACTTAACAAAATTATGAATTGATTTTTTGTTGGACGAATTGATGTAAAGATTGTATTATATATATTTTTTAACCTTAAGTCTGCACAGTGTTCGCCTGTCCTGACCTGACTGATTTTTCATTACGCTCGTGAGGGAGGTTTTGTTGACGATTTTAAATGCTGTTAGATCACCACCAGTCTAGTTCTTGTTTATCCTTATTCTTGAAACTAATTCTTTATTCTGAGGGAATGAGACTTACAGCAGATTTTCTCCAGTGACTAAATAATGAAAATAAATACCAGACAGTGAATGGTTTAGTGAATTATTGAAAGTCCTTAAGGGGAAAATTTCGACCCTAATTTAGAGAGAAAAACACAAACAAACAATAAAATAAACCAACAAACGATAAATTAGATAATAAAATAATCAAACAAATAAACAAACATGTAACAAACAAACAAACAAACATCCATTAGTTGTAAATTGAAAGAGCTTTCTAATGAGTTGTCCAATACCAAAATTCTCGGTTGGTTACGGCAGTGCAATCCACCTGACAAACTAGAATATTTAGTTAGGTATAATTGCAGCAGTTAATTCAAAGGTTAGAATTAATTTGGAACTGTCAACAGGTCAAACAGTGGGAGGACGAAGGGCTCAGCTGAAAGTTTTAATGGGAATGTTGTCGACAGTTGGTGCTGATGTTAAATGAAAGACCATAAGACACTTTAGTTAGTCTTGTGTTTATTGTTAAATGTTGTGTTGTGTATTGGCGGTACAATTGTCGTTTAGGTCCTACGCCTTTTTGGAAGAAGTTGGAATTATTGTTCAATACATCAAAAACCATCGGAAAAACATAATTTCAACCTCGCCTAACCCAACTTAACCTAACACTAACCTAACGTAATCTAACACTAACCCAACTTAACCTAACGTAATCTAACACTAACTTAACTTAACACTAACCTAACACTAACCTAACGTAATCTAACACTAACCTAACACTAACCTAACGTAACTTAACCTAACACTAACCTAACGTAACTTAACACTAACTTAACCTAACACTAACTTAACCTAACACTAACCTAACGTAACCTAACACTAACCTAACGTAACCTAACACTAACCTAACGTAATCTAACACTAACCTAACACTAACCCAACGTAACCCAACACTAACTTAACTCCAACACTAACCTAACGTAACCTAACACTAACCTAACGTAACCTAACACTAACCTAACGTAATCTAACACTAACCTAACACTAACTTAACCTAACACTAACCTAACATAACCTAACACTAACCTAACGTAACTTAACACTAACTTAACCTAACACTAACTTAACCTAACACTAACCTAACGTAACCTAACACTAACCTAACGTAATCTAACACTAACCTAACACTAACCTAACGTAACCTAACACTAACCTAACGTAATCTAACACTAACCTAACACTAACCTAACGTAACCTAACACTAACCTAACGTAATCTAACATTAACCTAACACTAACCTAACGTAATCTAACACTAACCTAACACTAACCTAACGTAACCTAACACTAACTTAACTTGACCTGAGCTTATGTAACCTAACCTCAAAATCCTAGCATTATCTGGATGAGCGAAACGATAATAATACAAAAATGATATCAGAATAACATAAACACGAGAAAGTTAATTTAGATTGCTAATTCACCTGTATAGTGTATAGAAAGGTTTACCTGTATAGTGTATAGAAAGGTTTACCTGTATAGTGTATAGAAAGGTTTACCTGTATAGTGTATAGAAAGGTTTACCTGTATAGTGTATAGAAAGGTTTACCTGTATAGTGTATAGAAAGGTTTACCTGTATAGTGTATAGAAAGGTTTACCTGTATAGTAATGTTTACCTGTATAGTGTATAGAAAGGTTTACCTGTATAGTGTATATAAAATAACTATAGTATAGGAGGTATATGAGTTATACAAGCATACATGGTTCATTTTGGTGTATATGTATTTACAGGTACAGTTAATGTGATTCAGCTATGTGTATACAGGGTTTGGGGATCATACACGGATACGGACGAAATAAAACTTACACAAGAATACATATACACATAGAACTGATGTATGTATACTCCTAGTCTTGTACATAAATATAAATACACGTTAAACATACGTACACACACACATACTGCTCTGAATTGGTGTACATTACTAGTCTTGTACATAACTTAAATCACAATACGTACACACACACACACACTGCTCAGATCTAATGTACACTCGTAGCCTTGTACACACCGTAAGCAAAAAAAACCCACATTAAACACACACAGACCTGATGTACACTACCACTTTTACACTAGTCTTGTAAACGTAGTCAACACACACACACACACACACGGATTAAAACTCCGCCACACATGTGTCTAAAGCACTAATGACGCTGAGAAATATATTTATAAATAGATGAGTAGAAATTTACGCCCTGACTTAAACACTTGCGTCTAGTGATTAATGAGTGACCTACCTTCCCTGTAGTGTCCAGCTGTGGAGTTATATTTAAAATTATTATTCCGTAAAGCCCTCCATATAACGGACTTTTCTATAAACCTCCATATAACGGACTTCGCTGTATATAACCCTCCATATAGCGGACTTCTCTCAGTAAAAACCTCCATATAACGGACTTCTCCATATAAACCTGGATATAGCGGACTTTCATCTTTATGTAGTTCGTTAGATGGAGGTTTTACATCGTATGTATTCAGAGGAAGTTTTATTTTCATATTTGTTTATTTTTGTTTACATCGTATAGATTGTTTACAGCGTATAAGGTGTTGCTTGGTTCAGTCATGGCGTTGCTTGTTGTTTATGGTTGTTTTTTTTCATTTGAGGTTCATCGTTGTTTATACCTATTGTAAGTAAATGGCCTTTTCTTCACCAATACCCGTGCAAACACTTGCAATACAGGGGAAAACACACACACACACACACACACACACACACACACACACACACACACACACACCCCTCCTTACCTGTGTTTTAGCACGCGCAGGTGTGTTACCCATCGGGCGTTGCACTTGGGGTGAGGGGAGGTGACAGGTGTGTTGTCCGCAGCTCACCTGTACCATTGACTCCTATTGTCCTTCCTCTTCTCCCCCCCCCCACCCCTCCTCGCCGTCACCCCTTCTCGCCTCCTCTTCCCTCCCCCTCCTCAGGACAAGCATGATCGTTAACCTCGTGTTTTTATCGAGTGCCCATTGTCTCTCTCTCTCTCTCGTCCAGTAGGCAACTTCAGTTCAGTTATGGTTAGGTTAAGGCAAAGTTCTTAGGTTATCTGTACCCTTGTCTTGTACCGTATAGTTAGTTCAGTGTTAAGGAGTGGCGTTAATTGTTGTCTCTCTCCTTCGCCAGCCCTGCCGCTCCTCGCTACGCCGATGGCTCCGCCCACTTCAACATGGGCGAGCACACGCTGAAGGTGCCCATGACCTTACACGCCGAGAACCGCAAGCGTCTCCTGAACCGCGTGACCGGCCGCAATGTGGCCCCCAGAAGTGTGGTGCTCCTCCAGGGCGGCGAGGACACCACCCGCTACTCCGCTGACGCCGAGAATGTCTTCCGTCAGGTAGGTCCTCTTGAGTGACAGCAGGACCCCTCCTCCCCCCCTTCCCCTTCCGTTTTTACCCTCTCTCCCTTCCCGTCTTCACCCTCCGTCTTCCCTCTCCGTTTTCTTCCTCCCTCCATTCCCATCTTCCTCCGTCTTCCCCCTCCCTCCTTCCCCGTCTTCACCCTCCCTTCCCATCTTCCCCTTCCGTCTTCCCCCCTCCCTCCGTCTTCCCTCCCTCCATCTTCCCCTCCTCCGTCTTCCCTCCGTCTTCCCCCCCTCCCTCCGTCTTCCAGGTGTCCTTGTCCCACCTACAGGAAGCGAGAGGTGTTCTGCTGGGAGTCTCAAGCAGAAGGAGGAGGAGGGAAGATAGGTAAGTGAGTACCCATTGAAAACATAAAAGCTCTTGGGAAGACCTCGTTGACTTCTTCGACTGCAAGATGAGGAGGTGGTTCAGAGTGTCAGGTTAATTAATGACGCTAAAAATACTCACCTGTGTTGTACCTGTGTTTTCCTATTTCATGGTAAGTTTAAGCACAATTTATTATCTGACTCAGGTAGGAATCACCACGCGTGTATCTGTCTGCCTTACCTGAACAAAATTGGTGTTAAGTTCCAGATAGATATTTTACCGTGATGTGTAAGGAGGAGGGGAGATCTTCCTTGAGTTTTCTGGAGTAGGAGGAGGACCCCATATGTGAGTCCTCCTTCGGGAGTTACATTCGGCAGGAGTTAAGTTTAAGTTTAATTTTACCTGTATGTAATTAAAGGTTCAAGGTGGTATTAAAGTGTTACTTTGATTAGTGAGTGAACGATGTTATGTGAGTATGTTAGAATGAGTGAATTATAGGTTAGGTGAGTATGTTAGAAGGAGTGAATGATAAGTTAGGTGAATATTAGAATGTTTATTAAAAATCCAGAGACGACAGAAGAAAATATGTCGCACCTTTGTATTTGAGGGAAAGTTACCGTTTATGTGTGTGTGTGTGTGTGTGTGTGTGTGTGTGTGTAAAAGTCTGTTCTTGATATAAAACCTTTTGTTACTGCTATCATGACGCAAGACTTTCCCTTCCCTCTCCAACACACACACACACTTTTACCTCATGTGTTAGTAGTAAATATTCCTTCACCTTACATACACCTGTAACTAGCCCTTCCCTCAATCACCTACCTTGTTTCACCTGTGGATTAAATACTCCTAATTGCTACCTGGTGTACGGGATGAGTTAGGTTACAGAGTGGTTAATTTTCAGGTGTATTAAGCTAAGGGAGGTGTTAATCTTCAGGTGATCAGACATATTTACTTACAATTACTAATGCCAATGTAGATATAAACAGTGTGGTTCAAAAGTAATATATATCTCTCTGTTGTTGTTGTAACTTTTTCCCCCCCCTGTTCTTTCATTTTCCTGGCTGAGATATCGTGGACGTCTTCCCACACACACACACACACACACTGTTAATCCGGGACACAGACAAGGTCGAGCATTGGGAGGTTTATACTGTATTCTCTTTTTACGTGTTGGTGATGTTGCCAAGTTGAAATTGTTTTGAAGAGCAAGCAAGCACACAAGCACACAGGGTCATAAACAAGCACACAGGGTCATAAACAAGCACATAGGGTCATGATCAAGCACATAGGGTCATAAACAAGCACACAGGGTCACACTTACAGCTTACTGAACGACTGATAAAGGCTGTAACGTCTTTGTTTTTGTTATTCGTTAATTAGTAGTGACGGCGGAAGGTGTGTCTTAATTGTGTTACCTGTGTGTGTTTAACCCACACCTGTCACACTCCTGTCTCGCTTATCAGTGCAGAATCTCGGTAACGATTCAGTTGTTGTGGTTGTGGTTGTTCTTTTATTATTGTTGATGTTCTTTTTGTTATTCTGTTATTGTTATGGTATATCATGAACAGCCTCACGTTACCTAAGGCTCAGGTGTTCACACGACACAATGGCTGATTTAACATAGACAGGTGTTCAATACTCAGTTATCTTCGCTTTTATTTATGAGTTCAAAATCTTCTGTCAACTCTCGTGGCACAATTTAATCTTTCAATGTTTTTTTTTTGTGTGGGTTTGTTTTTTGTTTGGCTTTTTCCGGTTTGTGTAAGAGCGTATTGATTACCTCACACAATATCACGACAGTTAGTAAGAGTCGTATGGCGGGTGAGACGAGAATGTGAACCGGAAATATCTTTGTATCTTTCTTCATCTTGGTATTCGTGAAAATTGAGTGAGAAATCAGACAGGGGGTTAAGTATGCCCCCCCCTCACCCCCCTTCTCTCACCCCCCCACCCCCCTCACCCCCCCACCCCCCCGGTCGTTGTTTTCGTCTGTTTGCCGCCAAAGTGGTTCTATTTACAGGACATTGCCAGGGTCGAATGAAGAGAGGTTGTTGGCAGTGGTGATGGTGATAGTTTCGTAATGGTGATAGACTGGCTGGTTGTGATGGTTGTATGTACGTCCGTTGTGGTTATAGTGTTGGCTGTCCGTATGTTTGTCCGTGATGGTGATAGTATATAGCTACCATACACTATCATTACTGTATGTTCCACCACTACCATACACCACCACCACCATGCACCACCACTATACCCCATTACCATACACCACCATGCACCACTACCATACTGTACACCATCACCATACACCACTACCATATTCCACCACCACCATACACCACTATCACCATACACCACTACCATACACCATCACCATACACCACCAAAATACACCTTTACTGTGGGAGTCTTATAGTATTGTAGTATTGGCTTAATGGTGCACCGTGTAGACAAGGATGGCGTGCCAGTAGACTGTACACGAGGGAGGGAGGGGGGGGGGTTAATGGTGCTGCGTGTGTTTTTAATGACGGGGGAAGGTGGTTGACTGCTTCTGTTCGTGTATTGGGGGTGTGTCTGTGTGTGTATACTTGTAAGTTTGTATATGTGTGTGTTTCTGTGTATGTAACTACGTGTGTGTCTGTCTGTCTGTGTGTATATATCTGTAAATTTATATGTATGTGTTCTGTGTATGTGCGTATTAGTATGTAACTACATATGTGTGTGTTTTATCAGACAAGTAGTAAGACGTGTTTACTTTGTTGTTTGTCGGCGTCATATCAGCGTGTGTTGTGTGTATGCGGGCGACACAAAGAGTTGAGTGAGTCAGTCAGTCAGGGCATCAGATATCAACCCGTTTATAGCACACGGGGGTGATGGGCGGGTTCCTAGGACTGTGTGAGCGGGTTCTTAAGACTGGGGGCGGGCAGGACTGTGTGGGCGGGCCTTAGGACTGTGTGGGCGGGGTTCCTGGGACTGTGGGCGGGGTTCTAGGACTGTGTGGGCGGGTTCCTAGGACTGTGTGTAGGACTGTGGGCGGGCTCCTAGGACTGTGTGGGCGGGCTCCTGGGACTGTGTGGGCGTGGTGGTGTTGATGCCGTCTACATTAATACATAACCCCGGTGTAATAGCTAGTTAAAAAAAAATATATATTTTTTTTTTTACTTTATATTAGATAAATTATTATTATCCTTCCAAAACTGATCTGAGAGAAGGTATATTTATGGACGGTATAGTCACAACACTGTATCGACGCCATATTTGTTGTCACCACCTATGTATTAACCTCCGTAACTTAAAGTAATCCAAATTCATATTTTTAATCTCCAGGTAGGTAAGGGGAGAGATTTTAACCTACGAACCTTTAAGAATGAAGGAAAAAAGTATATATTACGAGTGTTTCTGGTTAAGTGAATTGAATAAACTGTTTTTACTCTGTTAGTGATGCTGGTGCCGCCTCCTGCCTTGACTGACTGATGGGGAGGGTGTGGAGGGAGGAAGAGAGGTAGAGGAGGAGAATTGGGATATAGAATTGAGAGAGACAGAGAGAGAGAGAGACTATTACGGCTGTGTTGTTAGGTTATGTTATGTTATGTTAGATAAAATGGGGTTATATTAAGTGCGGTTAGGTTAGGGTATCGAGGTTTATGTTAAGGTTAGATTAGGTTAAGTAGGATTAGATTAGGTTTAGTAGAATTAGATTAGTGTTATGTAGGGTTAGAGTAATTTAAGTAGGGTTAGGCAAGGTTAAGTAGGGTTAGACTAGTGTAAGTAGGGTTATGTTAGGTTAAGTAGGATTGGATTAGGGTAAGTAGGGGCTAGATTAGGTTAAGTAGGCGCTAGATTCCATTAATAAAGCAGAGCACTTGACTTCCTTCCTCGGGTGGGTTCAGTATAATGTCAATGCTCTGCTAACTGGGCCAGAGACCATAATATATCTGGCCTTTGTTTGTACACGCTGAACCCCTGTAGTGTACAGCCTAGTGGATCAATACTGTACCTAGCCCAGCCTAAAACTAACCTAGCTGAGCCTAACATAACCTAGTGGATCAATACTGTACCCAGCCCAGCCTAAAACTAACCTAGCTGAGCCTAACATAACCTAGTGGATCAATACTGTACCTAGCCCAGCCTAAAACTAACCTAGCCGAGCCTAACATAACCTAGTGGATCAATACTGTACCTAGCCGAGCCTAAAACTAACCTAGCTGAGCCTAACATAACCTAGTGGATCAATACTGTACCCAGCCCAGCCTAAAACTAACCTAGCTGAGCCTAACATAACCTAGTGGATCAATACTGTACCTAGCCGAGCCTAAAACTAACCTAGCCGAGCCTAACATAACCTAGTGGATCAATACTGTACCTAGCCGAGCCTAAAACTAACCTAGCCGAGCCTAACATAACCTAGTGGTGGATCAATACTGCACGCAGCTCCAGCCTAAAACCAACCTGTAGCCGAGCCTAACTCCAACTCAGTGGATCATCACTGTACCTAGCCCAGCCTAAAACTAACCCAGCGAGCCTAACTCTAAACCTAGTGGATCATCGATTTCAGCCTCAGCCCAGCCTAAACCAACCTAGCTGAGCCCAATCCCAACCTAGTGATCAATACTGTACCTAGCCCAGCCTAAACCAATCCCAGCCGAGCCCAACTCTAACCTAGTGGGATCAC